TGAAAAATTCCAGAAATAATTTTTAAGTTTTAAGTCTTGCACCTCCAGCTTCATCCCATTGGGAACAGTTACCATCCTTATGTTCAGTTCAGTGGTAGAGCACTTGCCTACCATGCATGGAGCCCTTTGTTCAAAAGCTAGCAACACATACACATGCACGCTTGTTCTGTGCCTTATCAACAGTGTTGACTTGGGTCAGTGTAACTTAAAGGAATGAAACTTAATGTCCTTTCAAAGCATTTTTAAAATCTGTTCTTTTTATGCTAATTCACAATGACCCATTTATTTGGTTTTAATTTTATATATTGTAGTACTTGTATTTCTAAGAGGTTAGTTAAAATTTTTATTAAAAATAATTCTGAAGGGATAGGGCTAATGATGTCTAGAAAGAAAGTAATTCCTGAAATAATTCCAGTACTAAAATTGAGAGGTTTTTTGGGATAAGGACTATTGTTATGAAGTTAAAAATCCTAAATATCACAGTATCACTGATAAAAGCAAGCCTCTGAATTTTATCTTATTATGGCTCAAAATGATAATTTATCATATCCAGTATTATTTGCATTATGTAGTTTTTATAGAGCATTGTTTGAATGATTTAACTGGTTGTGTCAACTTTCTGTTACTATAACAAAGTACCTAAAACAATTAACTTGTAAAGAGAAAAGATTTCTTTTGGCTCACAGTTTTGGAAGTCCCACCCATGAATGATTGGCCCCTTTGTTTTGGGTCTGTGGCAAGCACATAGCAGAGTAAAACTGCTCATCTCTTGGCCAAGAAAGAGTTGAGAACAGGGCCAGGTTCACATTATTACTTACTAGGGTATGCCTCAAATGACCTAAAGATGTCACACTAGGCTCCCATCTTAAATATTTCTGCCAAGCCTTTATCATGTTTTTGGGGGGACACACAGCATCCTGACTACAGCAGTAGTCTACTTTATTTCTGACTTATGGGAAAGTTTTTTACATTTAAGCATTATGCGGTTTTTATTTTGAGTATGCATCTTCTTAATTTGATGATTTTTTTATTGCTTCTGGTGTTTCTTTTTTTAAGTAATGGACAGTTTATTTCTCTGTTCTACTATTAAGAGCCAGTCTGAAGTGAACTGTTTTCAAGCTCTAAGTCATTAAATTTGTTCCATATCTCTGGAAAAGATGGCCGCATTTGTGTTCTAGAAGCATGTGTTTCCAAACCAAATTGTTTACAAACAAAAGTGTTTATGAACTGAGGTACCACTGTAGTAGGAATAATTGTGATTGTTGTGTCACCTTAAAAAATTTTGTCAAAACATTAAAGGCTTATACTGTGGATTATAGATGGTAAGCGAAATTATGAAAAGTGGTAAGATTACTGTTTAGTATACTGTAATTTAAAACATGAAAACATTGAATTTTTCTCATAAGAAATTATAAAATGTAGTTTCAATAGTACTTGCCTCCTTGTCATGTAAATTATAGTACAGAGAAGGGGAAGGAGAGAGAGAGAGAAACACAAACACTGAAGAGAGTGAGTGGAGATACTTGTGATACTATATGAATTAACAGAAACATTACATTCTATATAACTTGTGTTGGATGTATTTTATTAGAATATTTAAACATGAGCATTTTTTTAAAAAACATGGAATCGTACAGTAAAGGATTTATAGTTCTGTACTACAGAACTATCGGGTTTATAAGGCTATTGTAGAATCATTTGAATTCTGTTTAGAACACTGGTCAGAATCGCTTCTTGGCCTTTTGGCTAAGATCAAGTGTAGAACACTGGTCAGCACACTTTCTGCAGAGAAAAGATGAAAGGATATTATTTAGATACTTAAATAACAAATGTACACATTTTTTATTAAGAAAATTTAATATAATTTTTAATCTTGGTCATATAAAAATGGAATTCTTCTAGAGAAGTAACATTTCTCTTCACTGGAGTTCAGAGTTACTGTTTTCCTATAATTGTGTCAGTTGCAAATGTTCAGCTGTAAAGCCCATTGTTAAACTCATGGCCCATTTTACAAATAAGCAATGGGTTGTTGGCCAGTCATGTTTGAGAATATAGTGGATCTTTGCAATCATCCAGTAGCAAGGGTTGATTCTTACGGTCACATAGTTATTTAATAACAGATGGTATCAAAGCACAGTACTTTTTAAAATGTCTCACTTTCTCTCATTTTCATAATTAAAATTAACCAGAATACCCTGTTCCCTAATCATTTTATAAAAGGGAAGTCACCCTATTAAAAAACTGCCACCTCCACATCTTTCCCTGCCTCAGCTTTATTTTTTCTATTGTACTTGGTTTTTAGTTGATGATTCATTTTCTGGGGCAATAATAACAATAATAATAATTTTAAATAAAAATATTGTTTTAAAGTTATTTTACAGAGATTTTTAAGACAGTTGGTAACAGCATTATTCCTTATTCAGATATGTTTTTAAAGTAATTTAAATTATTTTTTATTGTACTGGTAAACTGCGGTTTTAATAGCTGATCTTAATTGCAGATCTTATTAGACATTATGAACCTTTATCAGGTAGTACCTTAAATAGCTGGAGATAATATTTTTATACTACCACTCTTCTAATCCTACCATTTGTAAAATGCAAAGGACTTTAGTTCATGGAGAACAAGAGTGAAATACTGAACATCAAATCTGTGTGTTGTTTTTTTTGGTGTTGCTGGGGATTGTACATGTAGGCCCTGGTACATGCTAGGCAAGTGCTGTACCACTGAGCATTGGGTTTGCTGACCCTCACCCAACTATATATATTTTATGCATAAATTGTATAACAGGGTATTTGGCAAAGTCACTTATAGAAGGCTTAATAAACTGTCTGGTACATAGAAGGTACTTGCAAATGATTTTTTTATTTGTTCAGTTTTTTTGTTTGTTTGTTTTTTGGTACCAACAGTCGAACTCTGGGTACCTCAAGTTGAAACTTGTATTTGCGAGGCAGGCGCTGGAACCACTGAGCTAAATCTCCAGCTTGCAAATGAATTTTTAAATTATTAAATGTAAAGTCTAATAGTTGTTTGTAACCCCCACATTTTGCTCACTATTGTTAGTCAGTGGTGGTGAACCTATGGCACTCGTGCTACAGCAGGCAGTTAGTGCTTACTAGAGAAACAGATTTAATTAAAGATAGACAAATATATAAGAATTTACAAGATTGGCTTACAGTGACTGCCCACAGAATCAGGTTTAGAAGTGTGCAAAAGGTCCACCTGCACACTGGGGATCTGAAGGATATAATCGAAGGCTTAGAGCTCACTGTAGTGTCCCATGCGAGTCCGTATCAGGAGGCTGAAAGATCTGTGCTGGAAGGCTGAGCAGTATGAATGAACTAGAAGCCAGGAGACAACATTGAAGGTGAAAGCGAAGACTGGAGCTCCTCGGAAGAAGGAAAACCAAGACTTCCTTCTGTTACCTTTTTATAGCATTCTGGCAACAATCCTCCATAGGGTGGGTCTTCCACACCCAGAACTATGCTGAACCAATTAGTTTCGCATTGCTTTTTCAACAGTCAGTCAACCATCATAAAAGTTCTAAAAGGTTCACAATGTTTAATAAAATAGAATCTGCAGTTTGATTACCTAATATGGAAACTTGGTAACACTTGATTAGTCACATACCTGAGCCTTGCAGTCCTTAGATAAGTTATACAACCTCTCTTCCTCTGTTTTCTAATCTTTAAATTGAAGATATGATAGTTCATAACTCATGGGGTTGTACCTGTGAAGTATAAATGTCTTGTGTAATAGTGCTTGGCTCACTATATTTGAAGTAATCCTAATTTGAAGTAGGTTTAGTCAATTAAGTAGAGTCCCTAATATATCAATTAAGTCTAAGGTTCTTCTATTATAGATAGAACTTAACCTAATTTAGCTCATTCCTTATAGCATTATTACATAAACAGTGAAAGGAGAAGTTCTCCAGTATATTGGGGTTGTGTATTTTTATAGTGTCCTATACATTGGGCCATCCAGATACAACCAGCCTGACATATGAACAACTTGGGCTATGATGAAATTTTAGTTTTAACTTATGACCAAAATCTTGAGTTATGACCTGAATGCTGGCCACTTGTGCTTCCAGATGGTCTCAGATACTGATTTAACCCTTCAAGAGTTCTGGAAGGAGCATTACAACATCCTTCCCTGTGTGCTATTAATCAAAAAATCCTGGGACAGTGTCTCTCTTAGGACTCTGAGATCTGCCTGTATACAGGAGAAAGACTTTGAAGGCTGTGTAGTGGAGCCTCGAGAATGAGTTGAGTTCATGAGTCAAGTGTTCACTATATAGTCATAAATTGAAAAATTAATTAAATCTCAACATATACATATTCAAGAAATTGTAGTTATCACCTGATAATCTTCCTCAGATGCACAAGAGTGGTGCATTGACTTTTTTCTCCCTCTTACCCAACATGTGTCTTACACACACTTTAAGACTTTAGTATAACATATACTATATGGTATTTTGCTCTTAATACCTCTGAATAATAACTTGACAAAAATGAAATGCTCTGAGAAAAGGAATGCTTTGTGAATTTGAAATCTGTGGTTAAAATCTATGTTCTTTGTATAGTTTTATATTATTTGTATAATATATTTAGGTGAAACAGTTTAAGCCCCTAATTTTTTTTTTAAATCAGAGTATTTTTATTGCCTTTAAAAGTAAGTGTTAATTGTCCATACTAAGGAGATACAGTGTGGTATTTCTGATCACACATAGCTTGCACTAATCAAATCAGGGTAATTAGACTTTGTCATACCACATTTCTTTATTTTCTCTCTATATACAATTTTGCGTCCTAAACAATCTGAATAAGTTGCTTTCTTTTTTTTATTAATTTTATTGGTACATTTAAGGTATTTAAATTCTTTCCTACTTTTCATAGAAGTTCCAGATGCGTTTGTATAGTGTATAAGCATATTAGTTAATGGTCTTTCTGTTGTCAAGTTTTCTCATATATGTTTCCTTTTTTTTTTTCTTCCGCCAGAGGAAATAAAAGCTGAAACTGAAAAACAGAGGTTTGTGGGTTTTGTTCTTTAATAAAAATAATTTGTAGACTTGTTAATCTTAGTAAAACTAATAATGTGCTCTCTGGAGCACATATAATAAAAATAATAATATAATCATTTATATTTTTAGTGTGACATTTTCTGCATTTGATTTTTATAATAAAATCTGTTTTAAATAATACAAAGCAATGTAAACATACTTATCAATGCAAAATGATCACATATAAATAAGTTTAGAAAAGTGTTTCTGAAATGTCATGAGATATACTTTAAATAATTTCCTTTAAAATTTTGATTCATATTAAGAAAAATACTAGGCTTTTTGATAGTGTTAGCCTCTTCAGAACAGAATAGAATTACTCAAAGGTGTTTAACTTAAGGACAGGTAGAAAGCCTGTTGCCTTTTACTGTATGATATCAAATTTAGGTGACAATGAAATAGTTATATAATAAAGCTTGAGATCTTTGGGAGACAAAAATTCCACATCTTGCAAATGTTTAATTACAGCTTTGGCCATTATCTTTTGGCCTTATGACAAATGTCTTAATTTCTGTAGGCTTTGTTTTTCTCAGAATATGGAAAGATAGAAGACTGGTTTAGCAAGACTCTTTTTAGAACAGAAATTCATATTGCTATGAGTTTATCATTGCTATGATAAATGTGATACTCTAATCAGACTTTTTTTCATTTAGTCCTCCTCATGGAGAAGCAAAAGCTGGATCAAGCACTTTGCCTCCAGTGAAATCAAAGACAAATTTTATTGAAGCAGACAAGTACTTCTTACCCTTTGAGTTGGCATGCCAGTCCAAATGTCCCCGAATAGTTAGTACATCTCTAGATTGTTTACAGGTATGTATAAAATGGTATCTTAAAACAATATTAGAAGTAATTTTATTAAATGCTGCTGTTTTATATAGAATAGGAGTTAATATTGGTAGCATGCTATTTCACTGCTGGACCTCGGCTATGACATTCATTTCAAAGTTCATGAGTGCTTTCATCCTGTTGTGTACACACACACACACACACACACTCTCACACACTCATTAATATTCTCTCTCTGTCTGCCTCTTTCTCTCTCAGATATTTTGTAAGACAAACCTCCAGATGGGGGGTACTTCTTTTTTCAGTCCTCACTGTTTGTGAATAATAAGAATGTAACTAATAGTTCATTGACTAGGAACAGGTCACCTGATTTGTCCTTAAACTAGGTTAGAGATAAGTTCATCGGTTTGCTGACCTTGTTTACTTATTTTGTTTTAAAGAATTAGAATTATAATATCTAAGGTCTTCCTTCTAGGATAGAATGGTAACAACAAATAAATAGATCTGTGACTTATTTTAGCCAGTGTATGGAATCTCAGTTTTCACCCAATTGATCTAATTTGGAAAGAGATTTGGTGTATTTAAAAATGTTAAGATTTTTTTCCACAAAAGCAGTATTGAAAAAGTCTTGTTTATAGAAAGAAGTATATAGTTCTAACTCAGAGACCAACTCTCAATCTTAAAGTAGTAGTGTCTGACAGTTCTGTTTGGTCACTGCTTTGTGTGTGTGTGTGTGTGTGTGTGTGTGTGTGATGCATATCAATCTGAGTAGTTTTATGTATTTAGAGCTAGTAAACTATACAGAAAAAATAGTTATAGCATTTGGCTTTGATTATATCTTAATGTTTTTACAGAGAAAGTTGGTATAGCATTTAGCTTTGATTATATCTTGATGTTTTCATGTAAAAATTTCTGTATATATTCAGTCATATTTTAATTTTCATTCAGTTATTGTGTATTTATATATTTACCTAGCTTAATTAGAATCTTTATTTTCTCCATTTCAGAAACTTATTGCTTATGGGCACTTGACTGGCAATGCGCCAGATAGTACAACACCAGGCAAAAAATTGATTGATAGAATTATTGAAACAATATGTGGCTGCTTCCAAGGTCCTCAAACAGATGAAGGAGTTCAGTTGCAGATAATAAAGGTAAATACTTAATAAGTGAATTTGTTATTCATATAATCTGTATTTTTAAAAATCTGAAGCCTTTTACCTTGAAAATATTAGAAAAGGTCATTTTATATTCTGGCTATGGTAAAGTCATTTGGGTGCTTTTTAAATTTTTATTTATTTAGTTTTTGAGACAGGATCTCACTTTGTAGTTCAGGCTGGCCCTGAACTCACTATTTATCCCAGGCTGGCCTTGAACTTGAGACCCTCCTGCCTCAGCCTCCCAAATGGGATTACAGGCATACACTACCAAGCCCAGTGATTTGAGTGCTTTTTATTAGACTACATATCAGGAGATTTTATGGTTGAATATCAAGAGTCCATTAAAACAAGGTTATATTCTTACGTCTCTTCTTTTGAACACCTCAATTCAGGCTTGAGTCCTAGAGTATTCTAGAGTTTTTCTGTTTTTGACGTGTGTGTGTGTGTGTGTGTGTGTGTGTGTGTTTTTGGTCCTTCAAGCTTTAGGGTAATCCAACTTGTGGATCACCAGTTTTAATAATTCCCTTATACCTATCCATCCACTCAACCTGCTCAACAAAACCCTGTTCAGGTCTGTGCTATACTGAACCTGGGTAGTTGAATTCCTTTACAGAAAAACTAAGATCTATTACAAATTTTAGTTCTTAATGTTACTGTTATGGTAATGATAGTATGTTTATATACAGTAATTTAATGTATAATAATACTTTTGAAATTGCTTACTTATGTAAATGTTTCCTTATGTAAATATAATCCCTTCTGAGCCGATTTCATAGTTGTATTTACCTCACAAGTCATAGAATATCTATTAAAAAGCTATCCAATCATTTTGTCCTATCATTTGAAGTTTCAGGGCATTTAGGCTTTAATCAGGATAGATATAGATATATATGTATATATGTATATACACACACACATACATACATTAATGCTGACTGCATTGTACAGCATAGGGAGAACAAAAGATCGGAGTGTTTGCACTTGAGAAATTCCAAGTAGCCTAATATGTGAAAATTCACATAAAGTTTTTCACTTTATTTGAGGAAACACCTTAGGGTTATTTTAAATGCTTTATTCTAAAGATTTCTAAACACCTTTGGCCATAACTGCAGCACATTTACTAGTGAGTAAAAAAGATTTCAGGAATATTTGAAGACAAGATAGCATTCTCCAGAGTTGACAATCTAGTTGAATAGATATATGAGACATATCTATGCACTATAATCAGAAGGTATAGATGCTGTGCATTCTAATAAACTAAATTAAATATTCATATTAATGAAATCTGAGTTGAAACAGTTAAATGGTTTTCTAGTGTTCTGGGGTTGGAGTATCATGTTGAAACTACTACTAGAATGAAGAAAATAATCAGATATTTTAACAATTAATGACATATTCAAGGCAGGTAAGAATTCTGTATATACTACCAGAAAGTGATACTTGTTTCTGAGCATTCTAATTCTCATATGAAAATATTCATTCAGTTTTGTGCTGAAACTCTGAATGCAGAAAGTAGCTTTTAACTTTGCCCCCCATCCCTTTTTAAGGCTTTACTTACTGCAGTAACATCACAACACATAGAAATTCATGAAGGAACTGTACTGCAAGCTGTGAGAACATGTTACAATATCTATCTAGCAAGCAAAAATCTCATCAACCAGACAACAGCCAAAGCTACTCTTACTCAGATGCTAAATGTTATCTTTGCACGCATGGAAAACCAAGCAGTAAGTATTTACAAAAGAGATTATAACATAGCCATCAAATAGTTTGTGATAATTATAGTAACAGTTTTGCTCCTGTAGAAAAGAATGTCTTTCATTTACAGTTCTTACTGGAGATTTGCTGTATTCTATTTTGAGGTTTACTTGTTTAACTTTGGACAAAATGTTATTTCTAGTTCACAAATAGGATGTGAAAGGTTGATTCTTGTCCTTCTCATGGAAGTGTTTATGAATTAATATTTTTACTGAACTCAGACTTAGTGTGGAGTGTAATATGGATATGAAAATACCTAATTTGTGGTATAAAATTTTTCATTGAGCCTTAAAAATACATTTCTGTAGTGATGAAATGTATTTTTTCATTCATACATAAGGATTGTGGTATCTGTTATACTTAAAGCTGCTTCAGATTGGCTGGTAAGAGATGGGATTTTTTGTTGTTGTTTTGTATGTTTATTGTATTTTATTACTTAGGTCTTAATAGTTAAAAACCAACTTTCAACATTTTTATTGTGAACTGATTTAAACTTAGAGAATAGTTGTATAAATATTACAGAGAGAGCCTTATATCCTTCACTCTGCTTCCCTTATGCCAACATCTTACCTAACCATAGTAGCAAAAGCAGAATTAACAGAAGTTAGTTGTAATAAACTGGTGACCTTCCTGAATTTCACCAACTTTGCCTGTAATGTTCCATTTCTGTTTTAAGATCTGACTGAGAATTCCACATTGCGTTTAGTTTACAGTTAGTTGTTATGTCTTAGTCTTCTACAGTGTGTGCTAATTCCTCAGCCTTTCCTTGTTTTTCATGATCTTCCTCTCTTTAAATGGTATTTATTAATCATTTATTTTGTTCAGTGGCCCTAGTTTACTTTGTTTCATGTTTTTTGGTGATCAGAATGAAATTGTGCCTTTTTAATTTTTTTTTCTAGATTACTTCTGACCTAATGTTTAGTCTTTTTTGATTCATCATGTCAAGGATTCATGATGTTGATAGGTCTTTTTGGTGGTGATATTAACCTTGAGCCCTTGTTTAAGGTTCTATCAGTGTCCACAGTGACGTCACAATATTTGTTTTTATTTTACACTTAATAAATATCTTTGGGGAAATACAGTAATACCTTGGTTCACAAATGCTTCAGTTTGCAAACAGTTCAGTTCACGAACAAGTATTTAGTAAAACTTTGCTTCCATTCACAAACTCTGCACCAGTCAACAAACAACTACAGCCATCTTCCCTGCCCAAAGACAAATGCAGCCATCTTCCCCAAAACTGTAAAACAATTAAGTTCATAAACAAGATACCACTGTATTTTAGGACTATGCAAATATCCTACTATAATTCTCATGTTATTACTGCTTCACAGAATAGTATTTATCAGTAGATAGTGTTGGCAACAGTTACTTCCTATGATCTTTCTATAACAGTGATTTTTCTATTTCTCTTTTTCTTTCTATGTTCCTTAGCTAGAACTCTTCTCCCTTTTAAAAAATATAAATCTTTGTCGGGTGTGGTGGCACATGCCTGTAATCCCAGCACTTGGGAGGCTGAGGCAGGAGGATTGCTATGAGTTTGAGGCCAGCCTGGGCTACATAGTGATTTCCAGGTCATTCTCAACTACATAGACCCTGTCTCAAAGGAAAAAAAATAAATAAATAAATTTAAAAAATATATATATATGCATATTTGCATATATGCATATATATAGATACAAAAATCTGTGTTCAAGGATATTTTATTCTATGGATTAGTAGTTGAAACTATCATTTATTTTGTTGCTTATATTATTTTAGCTTTGGCCACAATTGTGTCCTTTTTACCAGCTCCTATCCTTTTTTGAATATTTTCATACTTTTTTGGAATCTCAAAATGTTCCATACTTGTTTTGTTTTGGTACTGGGGATCGAACTCGGGTCGTTGTGCTTGCAAGGCAGGCGGTGGAACCACTGAGCTAAATCCCCAGCCCATTCCATACTTGTTTTGAATTTTCCCTCCTTCAGCACTGGAAACAGTTGACCAAGGAGCCCTGCCTCCTTCAATTTTAGAATGGTATTGAAAAGCCAAAATCTGAGGGCTGAGTGTGTCATTGTCTCTAAGGTGTTATTTCTTCTAGACCCTCCCAGCTGATAGAACTAGAAAATATATGTATATACTAGCCCCATCTCTACACCAATATGTGAGTGTTTCTGTCTGGTATATTAAAAATAATGTGTTTATTATGGTCTTTCTAATTCTAGTATAATACCACAGGGTTCATTTAAGCCTTCTTCCTTAATTTATTGTTAACTCCTTTCTCTAACCAGTAAGAAATCTGGTTTTAATTGTCTACATTATATTACTTATTTAATCCTATTACATAACATTACTTTTAGAATTGCTCACCCATATCACTATGAGAAGCAAATTTACTAAGTGGGTTACAGTGTTTATACTCAGTTCTTTTTGTGTTTAGCCTTATATTATCCATTCAAAGTGCTATTTTCCAAAAGTTATTTATGTTAGTTCTTTCTCCATTCTTTTCAAAGCGGTAATGTTATTCCTTTGAAATACCTTTAGGTTCATGTGTTACTATTTCTTATTTTTCAGTACCTCTCATATCCTGGTTGGTTTAATTGTTTATTTTTTGGCTATGCAAAAAATTACTATGATGTAAGAGTCAGAACTATACAAGTATACTTAGAGAAGTACCATTCCCTCCTAATTCCTACTACTCCATTTCTCTTTCTCCTTTCCATTCCTTGGATGTAGCAAATTTCTATTTTATGAGTCCTGCATTTCTTTAGTATACATGAGCAGATACATGTAGCTTTGTCACCTACTTACATAAAAGGTAGCACAGTGTATTAGTTATCTATCATTCATAGCAAATCATTGCAAAGTTTAGCTTCTTAAAACAATTGTTTATCATGTATCACAGTTTTTGAGAGCCTAGAATCCACACATAGCTTAGCTGAGTGGCTCTGACTTCAGTTTCAGTTGATATTGCAGTAGGTGCATGAGTCAGGATGTCAGTTAGAGCTGTAGTTACTTAAAGACTTTATTAGGGAATATGTTCCAAGCTTACTAATGTGGCTGTTTGCAAAAGGCCTCATTTCTTTATTCTCTGTTGGGAAGAGGTATGGGTTTCTTGGTTTCTGGGTCAAGAGGGCTGCTTCTGTTATGGCACTTGAGTTCCACCAGAATGAGTCATCTGAGAGAGAATAACAAGGCAAAAGCTATAATGTTTAGCTTACAGCCAGAAGTGGTCCAGTATGGGGAAAAAATGCACAAAAAGGAGTGAAGCTCAAGTATATCAGGAAGATACATTATTGGTGGCTGTCTTATCTATAGATAAGCTTTTATACTTTTCACTTAGCAGTGTCCTAGAAAGCATGTTCTATATCAGCCCTTAGAGCGCTTCCTCCTTTTTCACATATGTATAGTTTTCTAAGACAATACCACAATCTATTCTGGCACTGTGCTGTGTAGCATTAGGTTGTTTCTGATATTTTACAACCATGTGATTTTGCTGCTTTTTAAAGGATGTGATTGAAAATAGTTTTGTCATTTTTTTTGTCAGTTTCTAAAATGACAGAAAATAGTTTTATTTATTCAGCAAGTTTTTATTGAATTTTTTTGTTTTTTGGTTTTTGGTGTTTTTGGTACCAGGGATTAAACTCAGGCGCTTGCACTTGCGAGGCAAGTGGCAGTACCACTGAGCTAAATCCCTGGCCCTTTACTGAATTTCTAGTATGTTCCTGGCTTCACTTACATAGCACAGGGCAAAACTGACATAGTTACTACCTTCAAACGCCTGAAAAACTGGAACAAAGGGAGAGATGAAACTTAATTAGATAATCCCACAAATTTATAATTGAATTGTGATAAAGTTGTGAGCATGTTTAATAAAGAATATTTAGTTCTGTGCTAGGATAATCAAGAAAGTGGGGAGAGGGAAAATAGAGGAAATAGGGGACAAATGATTTAATTACCACATTTGCTAAAATCTTATAAGCTAGAAGTCTAATTTAATTATATATACCACTGATGGCCTTACTCTTCCCCCAAATAAAACTTGAGAATACAAACTTTCCTGGACTTTATTAGAAAAAACTCAGTCCAGTGCTGGGTATGGTGGCACATGCCTTTAATCCCAGCTCTCAGGATGCTGAGGTAGGAAGATTGCTGTGAGTTCAAGGCAACCCTGGGCTACAACAGTGAGTTCTGGGCCAGCCTGAACTACTTAACATGACCTTGTCTCAAACAAAACAAAACAAAGCTAAGTCCTAAGATTATTTCAGTGGAAAAATTACTGATTTCCCCTTAGGAGAGTGGTTCTTAGCTTGAGGCAGTTGTCCTTCAGAAGGCACATTTGAGACTGTCATGACTGGGGCAGGGAGCTGCTATTGGTATATTGATGTTTTTTAGCATCCTGTAAGTTAATTTAATATAGATAGTATCATGTAGAGAATAATGACAGGTGTTCTAAAATAAAATTCAGACACTTTTAGATTCATCTCTTTCATGCTTAATAGATGACTGGGCAGAATAGTTGTGACTTTATTTATTAAATATTTTATTTTTAATTAAAAGATCTTTGTTAAGGTAATATAAGAGCATGTTTTGGAGGGTATGCACTGAAAAAGTTCTCTCCTATTCCATTTCCCATTAGGTCATTTCCCAACTCCACACAACCATTATTACTAGTTTTTTATGTATCTTGCTAGACTTTGTTTTTATATGTATAAGTAGAAGTGAACGTGTCAGTGTGTGTTGTGTTCCATCTATTCTTTTTCCTTTCCTAATGGAATTTTTATTTGATTTTTAGGTAATTCCATTTTTGGCAACAAAAGTTATTACTCTGAGGCTTTAAAAAATAGCTTTAGTTTCATTTAGATAATACATTTCACAACATTCAGATGTAATCAAAAGGCAGCATAGTAAAAATCTTCTGTTTCTGTTCTTAGTACAATTTCCAGCTACATAAGGTGTAAACATTGTTAATTATTTTTAGTGCATTTTAGGTTGTTTCTGATGGACTATAATTTCTAAGTCTAGATGAAAGATATACTTTATATAAAGGATTTGTAGTCAGTGATATGTCATTCCTCTAGTTTTGTTTTGAGACAGGGTCTCGCCATGTAGTTCAGGCTGGTTTTGAATTCAATGTGTAGCCTAGGCTGGCCTTGAATTTACAGTGACCCTCCTGCCTCAGCCTCCCAAGTGCTGGGATTACAGGCATGCACTACCACACCCAGCCTTTCCCCTCCAGATTTTACATCTTCTTTATTTTATTTTTTTTTTTTTTGTTACCAGGGATTGAACTCGGGACGTTGCATTTGCAAGGCATGTTGCAGAACCACTGAGCTAAATCTCTGGCTGCCCTCCAGATTTAGAACTATGTATTTTACTAATCTTAGAGATTATTATGTTTTTTTCAGTTGCAGGAAGCCAAACAAATGGAGAAAGAAAGGCATCGGCGGCAGCATCATCTGTTACAGTCTCCAATAAGCCATCATGAGCCTGAATCACCTCAACTTAGATACTTGCCACCTCAGACTGTTGATCTTATATCCCAAGAACAGGGGGACCTTGACCCCCATACAAATGATTTGGATAAAAGTCTCCAGGATGACACAGAGCCCGAAAATGGATCTGATGTTTCCAGTGCTGAAAATGAACAGACTGAAGCTGATCAGGCAACTGCAGCTGAAAGTAATCTTAACAAGGGGGCGTAGGGTGTGTGTGTTAAGGGAAAGGTGTAAGAATGAGAGTTTTTGATAAAGAAATGTGGAAAGAATTGTGACCTTTTTCTACTTTAGGTGGTAAAGTTAATATGACTTTACCCACAAAACTTCTATTAATGTCTCTGTGCATTCAGTAGCATCTCATGAAGAGTATAGTTTATAAAATTCCTTTAGGGGAGATACATGTTTCTAAAGCCAGATTATAAATGTCTATTAACATATTATGTAGGAACTTCAGTTTTCTCCATAAAACTAATTTTTATAGCAAACAAGGGATATAATTAGAAAAGTTTTATGGAATATTACTGAAAATTTTAGGAAATCATTATCAATGTAGAAGTATTATCAAAAAGTGCTAAAATTAAATATAAATGCTTTTTAGTACAAAAAATTCACTTTTTTCTCAGTAATCACTAAAACAGATAATCTTACAATATTTTTCTATGCAAATTTATATATAAGAAAATAATTACAGTTAACAATATTAAATTACTTTTATTCTTAGGTACAGTCTAGTACTTGGGATTAACATGACAGAAGAAACCATTGCTCATAGTATTTAACCTGCCTGGAGGGTCAGCTGAGCGAGCATAAATGAGTTATACTGTGTGAAAAGTTTTCTGAAAACACCATACACAAGATAGAACAGTGTTTAAGAGAATTAGGAAATACTTTCACAGAGAAAATATTTTATTTGAATTGTGGTGGTTCGGAGTAGGCTGGCTTAGCTAGAAATTTGGTAAATTTCCCAGCAGAGGAGACACATGGGCTAAGATCCAAGGAGTGGGAACATCTACTGTGTGAGGCACCACTGTTGGTGCCTTATAAAATATACGTAAGAATATATATAAAACATAGTTTCCTGTAACATCATTGTGATTATTTTAATTTGTAAATCTCCTTTTCTCCTAATAGCTGATATAAATGAAAATTCTACTTTAGAATCATTGGTTTAGAGTGTGTGTTCTAGAGAACATCCTGACACTAATATATGACTTTGGACATAACAGTTAAATTCTCTAGGCATGTGCAATAAGTAATAGTCCTTGTTACTATAATGTGTTTCTGTCAGTTAATTTATGTAAGAATTTTAATTCACTAGCCATTTTGTACTCATTTTGAGATAGTGGCTCTCTATATTTAGTTACTTACTATTTTCAGACTCAAGCATTTACCCAGCTAGAACATAGAAATAAAAATAAGAATGTAGAAAATTTACCTACCAATACATCTGTATGTCTTTATTCCACAGAAGAATCAAAGTGCTATTTTTACTTGTCAATTTTATAAAATAAGTCTACTGGGTTTTTGTTGTTGTTTTGGTACTAGGGATCGAAGTCAGGACCTTGTGATAGCCTACTAGTTTTATATGCTTATTTATCAGGCTTTCCCTTGTGGCATTCAGTACTTAGAAGACAGTAGATTAGGAACATTGAAATTATAAGGGCAGGTATAGTGGCCCTTTATAGGTGGGAGCCAGTGGAGGCAGCATCAGTAACAGCTAAAGTTTACAATCTGATGCCACTTGATGTAGCACAGTGGCTCCCTGAACAGGGTTCTAGATACCCAAACTTTCTAACATTTTGTGAGCCACTAAAGACGTTGTCAGCATTTCAGAAAGGTCAGTGCGAATCCTATTTTTTATCTGTGGTAGTCTAGACAGTCTATCTGGAATGTTAAGTTTCATCAGTTTCTCTTAGGCTGTTCAGAAATTCTGATTTACAGTTACCTTTTTTTTCCTGTGTTGTTTCTCATTAAATTGGTGAATGAATTCATTTTCACTTCTTCAATTTAGCTTTATTTGGAAATGTAGATTCCTTCGAAATGGGCTAAAGAAAGCACTGATAGAGATCTAGATGGCCTTTCTGCTTATGCACAAGGACCTCACTATAGTAAAATACAATGTTGATATTATTAGTAATCAAACTTTTAATTATACTTAAGATATTTTTGATAAGGATTAGCATAGGAGTGTGTACACTAAGTAAGTGTGTATGAGACAGTAGATGTTTCACTCAAATGACGTAAAAGTTTGGTTCTTAAAGGAATAATCTAGGAAATTTAAGTTTAATAATCACTTAATAGCTTCTCAAATGAACCATTCTTAAGATTGACTTCAATTTGAAAAATAATTGGTTTTGGTTTTGTTTCAGATTTTGAGAGTTTGACATATAATTGTATCTAATTTTTATGTGATTTTTTTTTCCTTTATTTTTAGGAACAAACTTTTGTCATCAAATGTATTTAGTAAAGTTTCCAAAAATTAATTGAATTTTTCTCTTTTTAAAGCATTATCTAAAAATGGTATTTTGTATGATGGAGAAAACCATGACTGTGAGGAAAAGCCACAAGACATTGTACAGAGCATTGTAGAAGAAATGGTGAACATCGTTGTTGGAGGTAGTTACTTCATTCAAAATGAGTTTAGTCTGTTTCGTGGAGTTTCACCTGACCATGGAGTCCATATAATGTGTGGAACCAAAAGGGCAAAATTATGAGCACTTTCCCAATTTAGTGATTTGCGTGTGTGATCTGGAAAAATATAGTATGGTATATCTGTGTGTTTAACTACTATGTAGTTTATATATTCTCCTTCTTCCTCCCTCTGCCTCTCCCTCCCCTTTTCTCCTTATCCCATGTATATATGTAATACACACAGATATAATGCCTTTTTCATCTTAACTAAGCACAAAACCATGCACTATGGTTATAACTTCTGCAGTTTGATGTACAGTGACAAAACTTAAAATGAATTTTCTTTGTCTTGATTTTAAGGATAGGAGATTTATTCTTGTCATAGATCTTAGCAGTCTCAGCTTATGATTTCTTTTCCCTTTACTGAATCAAGAATTTTTATCTTTTCGCTTAAAGGAAGCACTTCTCTAGCATGTCTGAGTTGCCAACATCACTGCTATTGTGCTTTGGGGCCATTAATAAGTAAAATGAGTGTTACTTGAACACAAATTCTATAATATTGTGACAGTGAATCTGATAACTAAGTGAGTAGTGGGTGGGTAGCATATGCAGTGTAGATATATATGTTAGTTAAAAAAAAATGGTTCTTGTCCTGGGTAGGATGTACTGGGATGGCAAAAGATTTCATTATGCTACTGAGGTAGCACACAATTCAAAACTGAAGAATTATTTCTGGCATTTTCCGTTTTGATATTTTCAGATTGTACCGTACTGTGGGTAACTAAGCTGCAGAAAGTGAAGCCAAAAATAAGGGGAGAGGACCTATTATATTTAGCTATCTCTCATTATATAGGAATACTCTTAAAATTTTTTTCATTAATACATGTTTGTAGTACATGCATTTTACAGTCATCTTGAGTGGGTACATGTAAATAATACTCCTTGCTCATTTTCTTTTTTAATCCCCTTCCCTTCCTGCTCCCTCTCTCTTCCTCTAATTCCCTTTCCCATTTTCATTCTTACTGATATTATTATTCTTAGCTCATGTATATGGCATATAATGTTTACATACATTGAAGTTATGAGGTACCTCTACAAGGCATTTCTTTATTTATTTCCCCATCTTCTCCCCCTTCTCCCTCACCCTTGGTCTTTTGGACCCCTTACCATTTGTAAGAACTCCCATCTGCTTCTCTCCTTCTTTCCACCCTCTTTTGTTCTCTTTGTTTGTACTTTGCCTTACTCAAATGAGAGATGCCATATGGTATCTAAATCTGTGTGTCCAGTTTATTTCACTCACCATTATATATTCCAGGTGCATCCATTTTCCTTCAGATGTCTCAAGTTTGTCCTTTATAGCCAACTCTTATTCTGTTATATGTGGATACTATATTTTCTTTATCCAGTCATCTGTTGATGGATATACAAGGCTGCTTCTTGGATTTAGCTGTTACGAATCGTGCTGCTATAAACATTGCAATACATGTGTTGCTATAGTATGATATCTTGAGCCCTTTAGGGAAGATGCCTAGAAGGCAAATAGCTGGGTCATATGAAATTTCTAATTTTAGTTCTTTCAGAAATCTCCATACTGATTTCCATAATGGTTGTACTAATTTACATTCCCATCAACAGTGCAAGAAGTTTCCTTTTTCACCACAGCCTTGCCAGCATTTGTTATTTTTTTAAATTCTTTATGATTGCCATTCTTTCTGGAATAAGATGTCATCTTAGCATTATTTTAATTTGCATTTCTCTAATCACCAGAGATGTTGAACATTTTTTCATTTATTTGTTAGTTATTTGTGTGTGAAGTGTCTTTTTTTTTTTTTTTTTTGTATCAGGGATCAAACTCAGGTCTTTGTTTTTCTGAGGCAGGCCCACTGAGCTAAATCCTCAGCCCTCTTGCCCATTTCTTGACTGGGTCTTTTAGGTGTTTTAATTTTTTTTAGGTCTTTATACTGTATATTCTAGATGTTCATTCTGTCTAAGGAGTACCTAGCAAAAATTTCTTTTTCCTATTCCTAGGTTGACTATTCACTCAATTGATTCCCTTGCTATACAGAAGCTTTTCAATTTGATTTAATCCCATTTGTTGATCATTGCTGTTATTTCTTATGCAATGTCTGTGTGATGTACTGTTTGCTAATATTTTGCTTAGGATTTTTGCTTCTATGTTTATTAAGAAAATTGACCTATAGTTTTCTTTTTATCGGGATGATACTGACTTCCATAAATGAATTTGGCAGCACTCTGTACCTTTCAATTTCTTTGAAAAGCTTGAGATGTATTGGTGATATAACATCCTTAAAAGTTTTGTAGAAGTCAGCAGTGAATCCATCAGATCATGGGCCCATTTTAGTTGGTAGATTGTTTATTATTATGTCAATTTCATTGCTTGTTTTTGGATTGCTCAGCATATTTGAGTCTTGGTAATTTATATGAGTCTAGGAACCTGTCCATTTCTTCAAAATTTGCCAATTTGTTAGAATACAGTTTTTCAGAGTAGTTACTGTCTTCTATATTTTGACAGTGTCTGTTGTGATTTTGCCTTTTTCATTTCTAATTGCATTACTGTGAGTCTTTCTCTTTTTTTCTTGGTAAGTCTGACAAGGGTGTATCTGTTTTTTTATGCTTTCAAAGAACCAGCTCTTTGATTCCTTCATTTTTTTTCCCAAGTCTCAGTTTCATTGATTTCCACTTTAATCTTTATACTTTCCCTCCTTAATTTTGGTTTGGGTCTGGATTATTGTTGCTTCTCAAAGTATCTTAACATTCCTCATAAGGTTATTTATTTGAGCTTGCTCTGTTTTCCTAATGTGACAGAGTCTACAGCAGAGAATGATTAGATTTCAAAATTGGCAAGTGGTGGTTTGGCTGAAGTATAGCATAAATTGTGTTATACAATAGAAGAATTTTCAGACAACTCACAGAGGATTATAAATTTCAGGCGTAAAATTTCCTTCTTCATTCTAGGACAGAATTACCATTTAATATTTTAGAGCTAAGACATGAAGGATCAGTACTATGCTAGCAGCTAAGTTTGAAAATAGGAAGTTCAGGAGGAGACTAGCCACAGTAATCTAAGCCTGAATAGGGCAGTAATGGTAGAAGGAGAGAAGAAAACATGGATGTTAAGTGAGATAATGTGTATCAAACCAAGAATACTTTGTAACTATTCAACTAAGTCAAGAAAAGAAAGGAAAAAGTATGTCAGAGATCCACAAGATTTCCTCCAGATTTTGTGATTTATTGAGAGCCCTCATAGGACATGACATACTCTGTTAAAATTTATTATGGCAAAGCAAGATTATCAAAGGAAAAAGGTACATTGGGTAAAGTCTAGAGGAAATCGGCTTATACTTTAAAGAATTCTGTCCCAGTGAAGTCATGCAGGATGCTCTCAACTCTTCCAGCATCAAATTGTAAAATATTTATTAGAGGCTTAAGGCCGAAGATTTTTATTGGGGGTTGTTCTTTAGACCCTTTGCATGGTATGTGCCAAAATTTCAGAGTCCCAGAAGTAATATTGGTTCATATTGTAGATCCCTAGCTAGAAAGCTGTTTCTGCGTAATCCATTCTTTTTGTGCAGTTTAGATCAGTGATGGCGAACCTTTTAGAGCTTTCAGTGATAACAGGCAGCCTGCTGTGGCACATATGCCATAGGTTCACCACCACTGGACACTGTAAGCCTCTAGTCCGTTCTGGTAATAACCCTTTTGACATACAGGATCCTAGGTGTCAGCCCAAGTTCACTTTTGAAAGTAGGCTTTTCTAAAATAGGTAGTATCAGGTCTGCTATGTTTTTTATATAGATGGTTCCCCAGTTTTTGAGCCTACCTGGCTGGATTAGATAGATGGTGATATTCTTGGTAGAGTTAAATCATATTGAGAAATAACTTGGGGCGGGGACAGCAATAACAATTTACTTTTAACATACTGATTTTGACCCTTAGGTTGGCCATACATGTGGAAATGTTTATGAAATGTGTAATGGAAAAATAGAACTCTTAACCAAAGAAATATCAAGGCAAGTGCTATAGATGGAAGTCATTCTGTTAATCTTATGGCTTCAACTATTTTTATCAAGTAAAAATGTAGAAACTTAGAAAGAAACCCTGATATTGATAATATAAATTAAGAAAATCAGAAAAAAAAAAACCTCATAATCAGAAAAAGAAAAACATGCCCACAGATTCTTTAAAAATCTAATATTGTATTTGAAAGTTTGGAGGATTATAGTCCTGTGTGCCACATTGGGCCCACTGCATATTTTTGTAAATAAAGTATTATTGTACCACTACCACATTTATTTGTTACCTGTTGTGGCAGCTACTACACCTACAAGTAGAGCTGGAAAAAAAAATAGAGCTGAATAGTTCCAGTGGAAACTGTTAAGACTTATAATGTTTGTTATATGGCCATTTACCCCCCCCAAAAAAAAGTTTGCCAGCATCTAATGTAGATGAATACAGACTAGGACATGAAAGTTCTTTCATTTTTCTGCAGTTTTTTACTTAGAAAAATTTCAAACCTAAAAAAAAGATGAAGGGAGAATATAATGAATATGCCATTTATCTGAATTCAGTAATGATCAGAGTTTTGCCACATTTGCCTTATGTGTCTTTTAGTACACATACAACACACATATATATCTTTGCTGAACCATTTGAAAATTCATTGTATACATCATAACATTTTGCCTCATACATAGCTCAATATATATTTTCTATAAAGAAGGGCACTATTCATACATAACCATAATTTCATTTTCACACCTAAGAAAATTAACACTATTTCAGAAATATCTAATATGCATGTATTTAAGAATTTTCCCACTTTTCCCAAAATATATCTTTTAGTCCTATTTTTTTTTCTTTTCTTTTTTAAGTGCAAGACCAAATCCAAATATAGTCTCATTTGCTCATGTTTCTTTGGTCTCTGTAGTTGAGAACAAATCTTGCCTTTATGAAAGAAAATTGTATTTTCCTTTGAGAACTTGATTTTAAAAAAGGGAGGAAAATATATAGCTGAAGTATGGTACAAATTAAAAAAGTATTTTAGAATGAATAGATTTGAATATGTTTGTTACATATTCAGGGAAGATAAAGTTGTTTAAATTTGCCAGGCACGGTGGCGCACACCTATAATCCCAGTACTGAGGAGGCTGAGGCAAGAGGATCACTTCAAGTTTGAGGCCAGCCTAAGCTACATAGTGAGTTCTGGTCCAGCCTGGACTACATAGCGAGACCATTTCTCAAAAAAAAACAAAACAAAACAAAACAGAAAAACAAAAAAGAAAAGAGCTCACTATTAAAAGTTGTAAAGTTGAAAGTATAATGATAAAGGAAAACATTCCGTGAAGGAAACACTAGGAATTGAAGAAAAGTTGGATTTGAGAGCACATAAATAATTCAGCTTAGAAATGCAAAGGAGTAATCCCACTTAAATGAGAGAAGGTTTTTGGAGTTGTCAGGGAGCTTTGTGGTGGTGTAAGATAGAGAGGGCCTATGTTAAATTAATCTTAATTCTTAGCTAAGTAGACAGTGGAGATCATTTGTACAGGGGATTGGAGAAAAGGTCGCAGGCCGAAATGTAATTGGGCGTAGAGAAAAATCAGCGCAAGTGCCTTGAAGACTTGTTCGAAATTCAGTTTCTGATAACTGTTACTAAATTTTTTTGTGATTCTAGGGAGTTCTTTGCTGTATATAAGCATTCCTTAAAAGTATAACATATATAATTAAAACTGTAATAGTATCATGCGTATCAAACATTAGGATAATGCTCTACAAGTTATTCTGACAAAGCAGCTGTTTCATTTTGTGTGATCTCCAGTTTCTCAAATGTATTTTAGTATTTTAGTACTGAATAACTTTTTCATGTTAAACTTGTTAATTGCAAAACATGCTTTGGTATTATCCAGCTTACTCTTGCAGGATGTTCTAATTTCAAGAGCAAAAAATACTTCAGAGTAGAGGAGCAAGAAACTGCTACTCCTTCAAGTCACTCAGAGCTTGAAGAGATGTTAATCAGTTAATAACAAAATTAGTAATAGCAATCACTTATGCGTAGTATGTGTTGTGTCTTTGTGTTTTGGTTATTCCTCATAGACTTTATTTTCTCTGTTGCTGGCGAAGAAATGGAGTCAAAGAAAAAGAAAATAACTTATCCAGTTAAATGATAAAGACATGATTGAAACGTGTCTTTCATATTTCAAAGTCTGTGCTCCCCATAGCACAGAGTGTTCTCCACATACCTGCTTATTGTTTCTTTCATTGGTTGCATGTAAGGAATAGTTTCCTACCAGATAGCTACTTGTGACCATTGACATGTATATATATTTTTTCTTTAAAGTAATAAATGTATTACGCTTTGAGTAGTTGTGGAACTTGGTACTGTTTCCATTATCTTTATTCTACTAGAAGTTATTTTGTTTCACTTTATATTAATTATAAGTATTACTACTCAGAGTGACAGTGAAAATCATCCAGTTGTATACAAGCTATGTTCCAAAGAATGTTACTAAAGATACTAATAGAAACTCTTTAAAAAAAAGCAGAGGAGCGCATGATAAAATAAATTTTGGAAATACTACAGATTGTGTAATTGTGTATTCCCTTTGGAGTACTCAGTGCATATTCGCACTTTAAAGGCTACAATAAACCTTTTTCCCACCATCTCTCAAACTTGATGATGAGACATTTTTCAAGGAATTTCTTTTAACATCTCAAGGCATTAGGATTCATCAGAACTCAGTTTAATTAAGTGCTAACGTAGACCAAAAAATAAGCTGCTTTGGCATACTCTGGATAGCCTCTCATTGGCTGAGTGTGTTTTACTGCTAGAACAACTTAAGGATCATCTTCACAAGTATGCCAAACACTTCCTGACTTAGAAAATATACTAACCTTTAAGTTGTGCCAATGCATAACTTTATTTCACTTTGCTTTTCTGCCACTATTTCATTTTAAATGTTATGCTTTTAAACACACTTTGGTCAAGTTAGATATGTTTTTTATTCTTACTATTTTAGATATGGGAGAGGGGACTACTATAAATGCAAGTACAGATGGAAACATTGGAACTATGGAGGATGGTAGTGACAGTGAAAACATTCAAGCAAATGGAATTCCAGGAACACCAATTTCTGTTGCATATACACCGTCCTTACCTGATGACAGGTTATCTGTTTCTTCCAGTGATACTCAGGTATAAGTGGGTTTAAGTGCATGCGGACAGATTTATGTCTACCAACATCTTGTAGTAAATCTGGTTGATGATACTGGCTGATTTCAGTTTGTGGAAGAAAAGACACCCCCACCTTCACTGATAAAATTCACTCAGTTCTCTCCATACATTGATACCTACATTTCCAACTCTAAGGTGTATCTCATCTATGTTCACATCCTCCCCACTTCCCCACTTTGAAATGACATTATAAAGAAATATTCTTACCACATATTACAGGATAATGATAGTGTCAGGCGACAACATTTAGAAATTTAGGGAACTTCATCTTACCTTTTGTTTAGAACTGCAAAGAAATCAGTACTGTGGTAGTCACAGTTCTTCATCCTTCCTCTGTACTTTACGTTCTTATCTGTATCTTTTAAGATAAAGTCTGCTAGAAGGCCCTTTGGATGGATATTTTTTTGTTCATTGTGCTAATGTTTTGTCAATAATAGTACGAGATGGGTAAATTTTAAGAATTTATTTGATGACAGGACTATTTTAAAAGAATGCATTTTAAAGGTATTGTTACTGGGTTTGAGAATGGCATATAAGATTTAAGAAAATCAACGTGGCAAATTAGTCGTTCAGTTCCTCTTCCAGTAGATGGGGTGGGAAATAGTCCACCTATTAGTTAATTGAGTAAAATATACTAGACGGCTAAAATTATTTTACCCTGGAAAATATGTTTATTTTCATGGTATATTAACTTGTTTAGGAATCTGGAAATTCTTCAGGACCTTCACCTGGTGCTAAGTTTTCCCACATTTTACAAAAGGATGCCTTTCTAGTATTCAGGTCATTGTGTAAACTATCAATGAAACCACTGTCAGATGGACCACCAGATCCAAAGTAAGTCATAGATGTTTTGCTAACAAATAGAAGTTTTTCAGCTTGAAACTTACTGTTAAGTGTTTGGATTTTCTTTTGCTGTTCTTGTGCCATACTTTAAAATGTTGGGGAGAGGTACTTTATATTTTAAAAAATTGTACCTGTGCGTGGTGGCACACCCTGTAGTTCAAGCACCCACAGAGGCTGAAGTGGGACACATTTTAGTCACACCTGGGCAATTTAGCAAGATGCTATCTCAAAATTAAAAAACTAAAAATGGGCTGGGAATGTATCCCAGTGGTAGAGTATCCCTGAGTACAGTCCACCAGTATTGCAAAAAAAGGAAAAAAAAAAAGGTATTGTTGTTTTCTTCTGCCATGATGGCTTCTAATTGCTATGTACAGTATGTTCTGAGTTAGATGACTTCTGATTATGAACAAGCTGTGTAACTTCTCAGAGCAGTGTTTATAAATCAACCTAGCATTTATGAGGGGAGAAAATGTGGTATTGAAAAACAGTTCCAAACCTGCTGGAGTAGGTACCTTACACTTTCCCAAATGACAGGATAGCATAATAAATAGTGCCCAGTATATACTAGGTGCTCAGTTAACATTACTGAGTGAATAAATAAATGTAAATTTTTTTCCATAAATAGCTCATAATGAAAGACAATATGTTTGTATTAAGGTCTGACTGAATACTGAAGGAGATGCCTTTCTCTGTAGGGAGATAGGCGTTATTTGTCTAATTCCAATCAAATCTAAGTGTGATGTAAAAAACTACAGTGAATGTTAATATTTTAAAAATTACTACAATAAAGACTCATTACCATTAAGCTCTTCCCCTGTCATTACACTTAGCACGTCATTCTTAGCACTTTCTGAAGCAGTTCTGGAAGTTCACTTTAATTAGTGTCTTTACTTGTGCCATCATGGCTACTTTGATGTCCTGAATCAGTAGAAAACATTACCATTCCTGGTGATTTTGACTTTGGGTAAGAGCAAGAAGATTCACAGTGCCAGACCTGGTGTGAATAAGGTAGATGAGGACACAATTTACTATTTTTACAAACCTGCATTTTCATCAGATGGCAGTTGGCAGCAGCCTTCACTGTATTTTTTATCATATCTCATAAAATCACTCATGAAAGAGGACTTCCAGAACTGCTTCAGAAAATGACAGCAGTGATGAAATAAATGTGGTTAAAGTGAGTTGGGAGTATTTTGAAAGGGACTAATGACCACGTGTCTTTCATTGTAATACTTTTTTTCATTTAGACACACCAAATCTTTTGATCAGCTCTTGTATTTTAGTTCAAACCCTAAAGAAATGTCATTTCTGTGAGTCATAAAAAGGTCTTCCAAGTGTGACCAGTTACTGCTTGCAGTTAAACTTTTGAGTTTTAAGAGTAGTCTGCCTCTCTAATGTTGCAGTAAAATGTAACATGAGAACTTCCTGGGGAAAGAATCCTTGGATAGAGTAACTTTAAGAAAAGGATATTGAAGGCCGGGCATGGTGGCGCATGCTTCTAATCCCAGCAATTGGCATCCTGAGGCATGAGGATTGCTGTGAGTTCGAGACCAGCCTGGGCTACATAATGAGTTCCAGATCAGTCTCAACTACATAGTGAGACCCTGTCTCAAAAAAAAAAAAAAACAAACAAAAAACAAAAAACAAAAAAAACGATATTGAGATGGAGGGAGATGTAAACAAAATAACTTCAGTTTTTAAAAACGCTACAGTGTTAACTATGCATGATGGTACATTTCTGTAATCCCAGTAGTCTGGGAATCTAAGGGAGGAGAATCATGGATCATCGATTAGTGCCCAGCCTGGGCAATTTAACAATTTTGTTAGGCTTTGTCTCAAAATAAAAAAAGAACAAATGACTGAATATGTAGCTCACTCAAAGGTCCAATCCCCAGTACCACAGGGAAGGAGGATTATTTTGAGGAAAAATGTAGATTAGTTAATCCTTACATTTAGTGAGTTTAAACCAAGTATTAGGGAAGTTTGTCTGAAGGCTTTCTTGACTTCCCAGTTAGAGTTATTAAACTGTTAGGAAGGCTGAAAGGTAAAATTTTAGGAGCTGTTCTTTTTCCAAAAGAAAAAAATTTTTTTGTTAAATCTTGAATTTTTTTTTGTCCAATTCATCGAGTTTTTATTGTTACATAATTTTCTTTTTGTCTTTGCTTCTCTTTATGTTTTCTGATTTTGCTAAGATGATATCCAGGAACTATTCTTTAAATTTGAATCATGATTTCAAACTACCCCGATGAAAAGCTGTAGGCATGAATTTCCAGCCTCGTTTGTCTATGAAAAGTACAATTTATTTTTAGTAGATGGGAGCCTGAGGCAGTAGAATCACTTAAAGCTAGTCCAAGGCCAGCCTCGGCTACATAATGAGTTTAAGACCAGCTTGAACTACATATATGGTGAGACCCTGTCTCAGAAACCAAAATAAATAAATAAATCATAAGATAGTCATTTGACCTTTTCTTTATTAGGGGTTTTTGTTTTTGTTTTTGTTTTTGTTTGTACCAGGGATCAAACTCAGGACCTTGATCGTGCAGTGCCACTGAGCTAAATCCCCAGCCCTTACTGGTATTTTATACATGGCAGGTACTTAATAAATGACTGAACACAAGAATAAATCATTTAATTTGGGGGGTACATACTGTGTTCAAAGAATTTTGTTAGGTGCTGGGTATACAAAAATAAAACAAAAACTCAGATGTTAGAGAATGGCAAGCTGAGTATTTAATTACTATAGGAATTGAGCCAAAAAAGAGACACATCGAGTTAGACTTGGAAGTACTACTTTTGTGTAAGTAAGCCTTGGAATTTTAGAATGTGAAGACTAGAATTTGAAAGTCCTTAATTTAACTTAATTCATTTAAGCATTTCCCCCCCTTTTTGTACTGATGGATTTGCTACTCATAATCTTAGACTCAAAGTAATAGCCATCTTGGAAACATGACTATGTAATAAGGAGCTATGATATTATTGACTCCAATTTTGTTTCAAAAAAAGTAGTGTGTTTTCTTTTTTGTGTTACCAATTTACATGAAATGAAGTATCCCTTGCTAGATTTACTTAGATCCTTGAAATAATTGATAATTATAGCCATGAAAATTTTAAGTTGGAAATAAAGAGCAGTGAAGTTTCCAACACTATAAATGTGACTGAGTACAGTATTTGGGATAAAGTTTTCTTTAAAAAAAAAAAAGTGCTAGAGCATTTGTGGCCTCCCTTTGAATATTGCTTCTGATCAATCTCCTTGGTCTGTTGACCCTTTTTAATGGGATAAAAATTATATTTGTAAATCTAATAATTAAAATTCTAGATAATAATAAAAATGACAATATTGATCAGAAAACTAAATTAAAATTTTAAGCTAAACATTTTTCAATTTGTCATTATAAAATAATTTTTTAAATATTCTAGAAGCCTGTACTCATTTCAAAAGAAAAGGAACGTTAGTCAGTGAGACATTGTTTGAAATAGTGCTATAACTTGTTAACACATTCAAATTTTTATTGGTGCTTAGGATTTTTGAGTAGGATAACTAGGAAAAATTACATTGAAACTATTATATACTAAAGATAGCATTTAATTCAAGAAAGTTTATGGTGATTTCTAATAAGATATATAATTGTAAAAGAAAGAAGCAAAACATGTATCTTCAAATTATTTATTCCACTGGAAAAGTAAGTTGATGTGAAATATTAATGAATTTTTTCCCCATTTGAAAAGTTTGTGAAGTTTTGTATTAGAAAGGAATCACCTTCTTTTAAAGACTATGCTTTTTTCATACACCGTCTTTTTTTTGTCATGTTGTTGAGTTTTTCTGTTCCTTCCCATTTAAAAAGTTTGTGAAAAATGTGGTACCAGAATTAAACTATTATTCCCATAATGCTAAACTTGTCCATATACCTTGCCTTCTTTTTTACATTTTAGGTCTCATGAATTACGATCCAAGATTCTTTCATTGCAGTTACTTCTATCCATTCTACAGAATGCAGGACCTGTTTTCAGAACAAATGAGATGTTTATTAATGCTATTAAGCAGTATCTCTGTGTTGCACTCTCAAAAAATGGAGTATCATCTGTTCCAGAGGTTTTTGAGCTTTCTCTTTCCATATTTCTTACTTTGTTGTCAAATTTCAAGACACATCTGAAGATGCAAATTGAGGTATGTTCTGTATTTAGGCATTAAAGTTTAGGGTGCTATTGGATATTTCACTTGTTTCCTGTTAAATCAGCTATCATTGACATGCTGGAAAATATTCCAGAATGTGAAATAATCTTTGTGTATTCTCCTGTACTTCTTTTTTTAAGTCATCTATTCAGCAAGTAGGTGTTTTGTGAAGTATTAAGCCCTGAGAAATCAAGGTGAAGACACTGATCCTGCCTTCATGGAACTTACACTAATGGAATGAGTGGTTCTAGCTCTCTTGAACTAATTTCATCTTCACAATAGCTTTGCCATTGTATACAGTATATGGTTTATGGTAATGAATTTGGCTATCTTTTAAAGAAAGTTCCAAATATTTACTGAGTCTACATGGTTTTACATCATTTAAATATTAAGTACTTCATAAAAATACCATTTTGGGGATTGTATTTAGAATATTTGAAAAAGTTAACTTTTTCTTTGTACCTGTTTTATAATATTTATTTGTATATTTATTCTTAAAGTTTTCTCCCACATCTTTGGAAATACAATAGTAGTCATGTGATTCTAAAATTTTTGCAGAGATTTAGCAAAACTAAGTTGGAGAATCTTCCAATTATTTTACACGTATTATATCAGTTCGTGGTCTTTTGTTTCCATGTTCAGATAATTCAGTACTTTAAAGCAGTGCTTTATGATTTGCTGATTTAGATGCTTTTTTCAGCTCACTATTTATTAAAATATTTTTGACTGAGAAATTATTTATTTTAGAAATACCCACTTTTATGTCAGTTTTAAACCTTAATTCTATGTTGAATATACTGTGTATACAGGTTGCATTTTAATTTTTAACTTCATATGTAATCCCAATGCAAGGCTAATAAATTAGCTCAGAAGAAAGAAATTATTTTTTCACAATTTTTGATGATCAAACTAATCATCCTATTTTATTAATGCTCTCTAATATCTTATCAAAATCATTTAGAACTTTTTATGGGAATGAAACAGAATGACTTCATATTTTAAGTAAAGCATTTTCAAACTTTGGTCATATTTTTGAACCATAAACAACTTCTGGTGCCTGTACATTGTCAAGATGTAGAAGTTTGCTATATGTCTTATGAAAATAATACTAAGCATTTAGGGAACAGGTGCCTCATTTAGATAGTTTTTTCCATTGTCTTTATGAACTATAAGAGTCTTTAAAACAGACTTTTAAAATTTTTCTATAAACCTAGAAGTTTTTCATTTGATGATGAGACATTTAAATTGACAGAAAATGTTGAAGGTCTTTGTGCAGCCACTTACGGATTTTTGAACACTGAGACTCATTGTAATTACTTGGTAGGCTGTGTTGCAAATTCATATAGAACTAAGTATCATAAAAATAAGTTGTGATTATTATTTTTTCTGTAAAAATGAATTTAAAAGAAGATAGTCTTTAAGAAATTTCCTAATGACTCATAGGTGGTAGATTCTCATTACAAAATTGTTATAATAATGTTCTGCTTTTTCAAAAAAAAAAAAATTGGGTTTATTTCATTGTCCATTATCACCCAAGGGGAGATAAAGCAAATAATGAGCTATAAGAATACTTTTCAAAATATTATTAAACATATTCAAATTCAAGATGAGTTTTGTTCCACTTGGCAAAAACACATTAAAACTGAAACTTGCAAAACAAAATTAAAATTGTTGTTACATGAAGAATTACTTTGAGATTATTCATTTTTATAGTGTGATTTTTGAGTGTGCATTGAATTATTTCAGAAATTTATATACAACTTTTTAAGAAAACATCTATTTTATAAAGACAGTTTGCTTATGATAGTTATTCTACATGTACATATTATGTGTTCAAGAAATCATTAAAAGTTTGATTTTTTTTGTTAAATTCCTATTTTTAGGCATGTATATTACAATGATAGCTACTTGCTTGTTAGTACAGTGTGATACACCATATATAGTAGCAGAAGTTTGGTTTTTTTTCCCATCTCTTCAAATCTATATTTGAAATTTATACTGTAAATGAGAACCCAGGCATGGTGGCACACACCTGTCATCATCCCAGCTACTCCAAGAGGATTACAATTTTGAGGCTACCATGGGCAGCTTAGGAAGACCCTGTCTCAAAGTAAAATAAAAAAGAGCTAAGGGTATAGCTCACTGGAAGAATATTTGCCTAGCAAGGTTCTGGGCTCAATCTATAACACCCCCTACATAAACACTTGTGAAAGCACACACACAAAGCAAAACCAAAGTTCCACCTGTAATTCATGGCACTATTAGGGTCTCTAATCTTTTCATGATGCCCAATAGAAAGAAATACCTATCAACTTCATTTATTAAGCAGTTATGGTTACACAATTTAAGCTAGTATCCACTTTAAAAATAGTACATAAAAATTAAAAGAAAATGTTTTCATTTTATTCTTAGCCACAATGCATTACTTCTGGGTTATATGTACCTCTTCGACATGGTACAACTTCTTAGACTTGAATCAGATTGGACAGTACCTCTTGTCTTGCTATTCTTCCTTGTTTTCTTATATAGACTTATTGTTTATCATAGCAATTGAAAACACCCAGGTTTGTAAAGATAATGATGTCACTGAAAGGATGGTAGTGTGATCTAATTGTAACTATGAATAAGTTTTCAAGGTATCCAGCAGATATATTTCTTGCTGAATTTTTCCTCAGAAATTCTCATTGCACTCCTGCGAGTTTGCTGCTGCACTCAGGTGACTTGTTGTATTGTTTGAGAAATGTGACTATATGGGCATAAATATTTTATTAAATGCCTACTTATGCGCCATGCAATGTAGATACAATGCTTAGGAAGAAAAGCCTGGTCCCTGAGCCAGGAGTGGTGGTTTTCTTACTTGGGAGACTGGAGCAGGAGAATTATGAGTTTGAGACCAGCCTGGGCTGCATAGTAAGTCCCAGCCCAGCCTGGACCACATAGTGAGATCTGTCTCAAAAAAAAAAAAAAAAAAAAAAAAAAGACAGGCAGACCTGGTCCCTAGCTTCGTAGAGCTTCAAGGTCCATAGATCAGTGATGGTGAAGCTTTTAGTAATACAAACATACAATTGTATTGAGTTTTGTGAAAAGAAAAGCACATTATAAGAACACCTAACCCTTGGGAAGGAGAATTCAGTCATCTTACAAATGTTGCTGTGTCTGTTTTCATTGTGTGTGTGTGTGTGTGTGTGTGTGTGTGTGTGTGCGCGTGTGCGCGCATGCGCATATATGTATATATATATATATGTATATATATGAAATGCTAGTATGCTATTTTGTTAGTTACCGCTTTTTAGGTCACTCTTTTCCAAAATCTGAAAATTCTTAGCTGTTGAATTGAATTGTACTTCGTTAGGTTAACTCCTTTATGCTTGAAAGAAAAGTGAGAAAAGCTTGTATATTATTTTAGGCAGTAAAGATTTTCCCATTTGTAACTCGTACCAACATATAAGAAATACATTTTGTTTGTTTCTTTAGAGTATAAGTTACATTTAAATCTGGGAATGATTATGGTTAAGGTTGCCCTGAACTAGAATATCTGAAAAATGTTTTGAACAGAGTATAATTTATGCCCTTTGAAGAGATAAACTGAAGCATGAATTATATTTATTCAAGAAATGATTGCCCCAAGGAATTACAAAACTTTTCATGTTTTGATTGTAACAACTGTGTGATGGCAAACAGAACAGCAAGGTAAAGCACAGGGCTGGTATTACAAGGGCAGATTTAAGTCACTCTCCAGTTATTTCAGTCCTGAGATTTTGGAGATAGACTCATATAGAAATGAACTCCAGAGGAGCTTGGTTGCTGATCTCCTTTATACAGTTTGAGATATGTAAAAAGTAATCACACATCCAAATTCTTAACTGTTTTAAACAGAAATTTCCTCCATCACAGGTGTTCTCCCCACCACCACCAGTAAGTTTAATGGTACATTTTAAGCAAATACAATTAACATTTATCATTGGGATCTTGTATCTTTACGTAATATATCTTGGTTCTTGTTTTTTCCCCATACCCCTGCCCTCCCTTTACCCCTTTACCCCTCCATCACAGGTGTTCTTTAAAGAAATTTTCCTATATATTTTGGAAACTTCTACTAGCTCATTTGATCACAAATGGATGGTTATTCAGACACTAACAAGGATTTGTGCAGGTATTTGAAATTATCCTCCTTTTTTATCTTTTATTATGAGTTATTTCAAAGGTTAAATAATATTAGATGTGTTTTGTTAAAATTAATATATTGTTACAGATGCTCAGAGTGTAGTGGATATTTATGTAAACTATGACTGTGATTTAAATGCTGCAAATATATTTGAAAGACTAGTAAATGATCTATCAAAAATTGCTCAAGGAAGGGGCAGTCAAGAACTTGGTATGAGTAATGTTCAGGTAAGAAATTTAAAATATTTCAAATTTCAACTACCAAAGAACATGCATGTATTTTCCTTAAAGGATCTTTTTTGTTTTTATTTTATTTATGAATTATAGGAATTGAGCCTGAGGAAGAAAGGTTTAGAATGCTTAGTGTCGATTTTGAAATGTATGGTTGAGTGGAGTAAGGATCAATATGTGAATCCCAACTCTCAGACAACTCTTGGTAAGGTAGCATTTTGAGTTATACTTCTTAAAATTCTTCAACATTTTAAGAAAAACTATTTTGGAGGGTAGTTATAGATGACATTAGTTTCATGACATGTTTATTTAACTGTTAAAAGCATTCCTTATGATTCAAATACTATAACTAGCTTTAAACTATTCCCAATTTAGGGCCAGGAAGGTAGCTCAGTGGTGGCACCCTAGCCTAACAAGTTCAAGACCCTAAGTTTTATTCTTTTTTTTTTCCATTAAGTTTATTGGTACATTTAAGGCAAACAGTACAGTTACATTTATCATTGGATCTCATATCTTTACATGATATATCTTGGTTCTTATTTTTTCCCCATTCCCCTGCTCCCTCTTTCCCACTTTACCCTTCCTTATTTACAAAGACTTTGTTTTATTCTTGGTACCAAAAAAAAGCCGCCCCCCCCCGCAAAAAAAAAACACACACACACACAACTTAAAAAATTATTCCCAATTTAGGGTTTTTTATTTTTGAGATGACATCTCATATTTTGCAGGCTGGCCTCAAATTCACTGTCCTACCTCTCACATAGCTGGGATTATAGGCATGTGCCACCATTTCCAGCTGAAATTAGTTTAGCTTTTAAATTTAGTTATCCTAGCAATATACCCATTATGTTTTAAGAAGGTTGAGTTGTTTATCTGTGTTTGATGTTTACTGTCGGAGAAAAACTCAAAGCTTCAGGGCTATACTTTTGTTAAGAGTCCTTTGAGGGAGAACTATTCCCCACTGAAGCATGAGCCAAGAGAAAAACTGATGGATTCAGAGCACTGCAACTGACAAAAAAAGTCCTGATATGTGCAAACTGTATATACACTGTGAGGTTTTGTTTCTTAAACCATGCTGCCTTTTAAGATCACACTGTTTCAATATTTTGTGGTCTTAGTATAAAAGTGTATTGTTTATTATAGCACCTCATACTTTGTTTGCTTTAAGTAGGTATCTAACATTGAAATACTTTGTCTCAATGTGTTGTTTATTTCTTTGACAGAATATAGTAGTGTCCCCTCTTACCTATGGCTTTACTTGACATGGTTTGATGATCTGCAGTCAGTTGCAGTCTAAAGCTGTTAATGGAAAATCCCAGATATAATTCATAAATTTTAATTTCCCCACTGATTTAAGTACTACGATGAAGTCTCAAAGCATCTCTCTCCATCTTGTCTAGGTTATGAATTAGCCCTTTTCCAGTGTATCTGTGCTATATACACTACCTACCCATTACTCACTTAAATCTTAACTATCAGATAAACTATCATGGAATTAAAATGTTTATATTCAAGCAACTCTTATTTACTTAATAGTGGCCTCAAAGCATAAGGGCAGTGTTACTGGCAAGTGGGATGTGCCAACAAGAGGTCATACAGTGCTTCCTTCAAGTGAAAAGGTGAAAGAAAATCTCAGTAAGGAAAGAAAAGTAATCATTTGCTGAGGTTGCTGTGTTCATTAAATACTGTTATGGATTTCTTACTGTGCCTAATTTATAAATGAAATGTTATCACAGGACTATATGTATAGGAAATACACACACACACACACACACACACACACACACACACACATTAAAGGTTTTAGGCATACACTAAGTATCTTTGAATGTATCTCCTATGGATAAGGAGGTAACTATTATAATATACTGTATCAATTTCTCTTCTTACAGGTCAGGAGAAACCCTCAGACCAAGAGATGAGTGAAATCAAACACCCTGAGACAATAAACAGATATGGAAGTTTAAACTCCCTGGAGTCAACATCATCATCAGGAATAGGCAGCTACAGTACACAGATGTCTGGCACTGATAATCCAGAACAATTTGAGGTCCTAAAGCAACAAAAAGAAATAATAGAACAAGGGATAGATTTGTAAGTGTCAGATTTTTAGAAGAAACATTACTGAATATTCCTTTCCTAGTTACTTTATTACCATTTTTCAAGAAGTAAAATAGGAGGTAATTTTCTTGGATTCAAGAATTCTAAGGACTCTTTATTCAGCTCCCCTTCTTCATTTCAGTCTAGCCCAAACACTCTTTTCAGATGTCTTGGTGCTGCCTATAAACTTGTATAAAGGATACATTCAAAAATATTTGTTGGGTGAATAAATTAATCCTTTTAAAAGCCCACTAGAGATGGAAGAGGGAATCTTATTGGAAAGATAGGTACTTGGTGGACAAAAAAAATTGAAGCTACTTACTGTCCCAGGCCTTGTGGTTCCTGCTGCAACAGCCAATACCACAGATATGACCCAAATGATGCTGATAACTAAAGAACATAGTTGATTCTCAGTAGGACTGAGTTTTCCTGGCAGGGTTTTGTCTAAAACTTCATATTGGAGGTGGGTTTGGGTCAGGTAAGTAGTGAAAAATTTGTGAAACTGATTATTCTTGGAAAACTTAGGACGAATCAACTATGTTCTTTAGTTATCAGCATCATTTGGGTCATATCTGTGGTAGCCTTCAAATTTGCTGAATTCTCTCTTAGTCTCCAAACCTTCCTAAGAGCAAGAAGTATGTCTGTCATATTCCTAGAACCAGAACAATGCTTTTAATGCCAGGCCCCCATATGTTGTATGTTGTTGATGAACATCATCTGTGCAGTTCATTATTCATTTAACTCATTTATGAAATCTTTCATTATATTTCCTAATCAGATGACAGTGGAAAAAGTTTAAAATATGAAATTTTGAAGCATTTAAGCATTGCTTCTTTCTAGGTTTTATGTTTCCACCATTTGGGTTAAAGTGTACTACTGCTATTAGTGATATAGTGATGTATTCTTGTTATTTATTTCATTTTTATATGTTGATAAGGTAATCATTCCCCTTTCCAACGTGGTTATGTGCCAGAACCTGATCTTATAAAATCTTTTGTTTTCCTCTTTCTTCCTTTTTTTCTTTTTTCTTTTTTGCTAAGTTTTATGATACAGTCTGGTTCCTGGACTATTTTCAGTGTGAATGCCATCATTCCACTATTGCACCTTCCTCCTTCTTTATTGCCCTCTCTTCTTTCAGAGAAACATTAAGAAAGAATGAAATTGCTAGTCTTTTATCACAAATCTAGCAACTGTAAACTATTTTTAAAAATCCCCTTGTATGTTTACTTGGTTTGGGACTTATGCTTTAAAGCTTTTTTTTCTGATATTTTAGACTTGCCTTTTACTGACTGTTCAGGTATCTTTTTGTAGTGTTAATATGGAAAAAGTGGCAAAAATGCAAGATTCTGGGAGCTTGGAACTCTGTGCCAAGCACCTGGAAGACGCTGGTTCCCATATTCAAGATTATATACAATATAATCTAAATATAGCCAAAATATTTTTTAAAATAATATTGTAACATCTATAAAAAAAAAAAAAAGTGCTGCCAAGGTATGATAAGTATACGTGAAGAACTTGAGGAGTAAGGTAATAGTCACAGTGCTTCAAAGAGGAGCCCTGTATCTTTCAGTTCTTTCAGCCCCTGAACTTGATTTTGTGTTCATGTAGCCATTAAAAAGAATGCTTTCATGGAGTTGTGTTCCAGTATATCCTATACAACTCTTCCTTTCATGACACCACTGTATCCTGTTTTCCTCCTGCCTTTCTGACATTGTCCTCTAAACCTGTTTAGGTTGTTTTTGTCCTGCATACATCTTAGCATCCCAGGGTTTTGTCCTTAGCCCTTTTCTTACTTTGTATCTTTTCCTAAAGATACATGATCAGGTTTTCTTCCATGGCCTCACCTGTTTATGTGCTAATATCTCACAACTCCCAAGTGTTATTTTTGAAATAAATACCTCTACTGAGATCCAGATTCATCTGTGCTTGTCTTTTGGAATCTCCGCTGGATATTGCAGTTTCTTACCCTCATCTGTTCTGTAACAAAATTGATTAGTCTCTGTTCAGCTGCTGAGTACTACCAGAAACTAAAGTAAACAAAATCTGCTTGTTTCTGAATTTAATATTTAGGCTAATGACCTTAGCATGCTTCTAAATTTATAAACTAGAATGAGTGTTAGCTTAGATTTTCTTCTCACCTTTGAATCTAATTTGTCACTATGATCTGTTGATTTTATTCCTGAATATCTTGGCAATTCATTCTATTTTCTCCCTCTTTTACAAGCTATTCTTACAAGTCAAACCATCACTACTTCTTGTCTTGATTAGTACAACTTTTTAGTTGAGTTATTTTTCTTTGATCTTGTTCATATTCCAGGTTCTTTGCAAGTTTAATTAAGATAATTTCTCTTGAGTGAGTTTGCTTCTGTTTCTCCCTTATCTTGCTTTTAGAGAATAAAGCAAAGTTTTCTTGTTACAGCAGATAATACTTCAGATTTGAAGTTGTTGGATTCTAAGCTTTATTCTTCACCATTTCTGTGTTTCGCCTCATTGTGAATTTGTTCATTGTTATATCATGCTGTTTTACAGTTTTGTATATAGTGCTGTGGCTTCCTTTACAACCAGGATATTTTTTGGGTTTTTTTGTTTTTTTTTTCTTATAAAAGATGTAATCAGTTCCAGAAACATTTATCCAGAAATATATTATAACCATCTCAGTTATTAATCACCTCTTTTGCTGTGTCATATTCTTACTTTTAAATATATGTTTTTGTCGCATTTTAAAAATTGGGTTTTCTTCTCTTAGAGTTTTTTTGGTTTTTGTTTTTGTTTTGTACTGGGGATCCAACTCAGGACTTTGCGCTTGTAAGGCAGGCAGTGTAACAACTTAGCTAAATCCCCAGACCTAGAGTTAGAGTTTTTAGAAACAGGATTGTATTTATCTCAGTGAAAATGTTCTTTTTTTTTGTTTTTTTTTTGGTTTTTTGAGACAGGATCTCAGACCTGGAACTCACTATATAGCCCAGGCTGGTCTCAAATTCACAGCGATCCTCCTTCCTCAGCCTCCCAAGTGTTGGGATCCTATGCATGAGCCAGTAGCCTGGCGAAAATGTTCATTTTTAATAATCCTAATATGGTGTGGTTGAGTTGGAACTTAACAGGGGAATCATTAGGACAGAACAGGGAAGGACATTCCAGAGAATGACATGCTCCAGAACCAGAGGAGAGAAAGGACATTTGAAGACTCTTGTTGAGTATTCCAGGACAAGGTGGAAGGGGAGTGGCAAAAGGTGAGATGAGAACCTTGAGTTGAAGGTAGATTACCGAAGCCTTATTCTTCACGAAAGGAACTGTCTTGCTCCTGTTGTCACTGGCGTGCTGGTAAAGTGTTTAAGCACATGGGTAGTATCATCAGATTTTTGTTTTGGACTTTGCCGGTGGTCTGAAACATGGACTAGAATGTGAGTAAAACAAGAGAGAGATAAGCCATTTAAGAACTTGTGGCAGTACAGTGACAGGTGATGAGAAACCAAAGTATAATAGAAGTAAGAAGTAAATGATTTGTAAGCACTAATTGACATTTGACTTGGTTTTTTAAGCATGGAGGAGAGTTCCCCTGTTAATGGAGCCAGTAAAGGGCATGCAGAGGATTGGTCTCTATCAACTTCAACTACATTACATTTAGGGGATGTATGGGAGCAGTTGAAAGAAGGGTGGATGAGATGAAGTTGAGCTGTTCTGAGAAAGGCTGTTTGCTGGTCTTCATTGATTTGGACTAATGAGCCAAGGCTCCTTGAGAATTAAGAATAATATATACTATATTTAAAGTATGAGATATTTAGTATTCATGTCTTTACTCAAAGTTTGTCTACTCTGTGGCAATTACTTTCTAATTGTCTAGTTGATCATTATTGATGTGGACCCAAAATACACTATACTGCAAGAAAAAGTGAAGTGATGCATATCAGCATTAAGGGAAGCTTTCTATTTGAGACTATTTTCTAAGAAGAAAACTTGATACAATGTAATATTTTTATACTTCATGTATTGATTACATTAAATATGCTCCTGTTTTCTGAGTTTAAGACCTTCTTTTCAAGAAAAGCAATGTTTTTTTTTTAAATGTTCTTATTCATCTAGATTTAATAAGAAACCAAAGAGAGGAATACAGTACCTCCAAGAACAAGGGATGCTTGGCACCACACCTGAAGATATTGCCCAATTCTTACATCAAGAAGAAAGATTAGACTCTGTAAGAATATCATTTATTTGGGGAGATGGATATTATCAAAATCTCTATATATATGAAAACATTGTATGAAACTACCAATATTTTATAAAATTAATAGTAACAAAACTATATTGTAAAAGAATACCATTTATTTTATTCTTTTTTGTACAGTTCCTTTTAAGTTAATAAAACAACCCCTTTAAAATCTTTTCTTGAAAAGGTAATAAACAATAGCTTAATTTACATATATAATGTATATTTACATAAGTATATAAATTTGGTTTACACATTTTCTGGAATCAAAATGTCTTGTTTTTTTCACAATAAATATATTTGGTACAAGTAACATTTAACTTTCTGTTTGAAATTATTAGCCTTGTCAAAAACCTGTGCATCTTACAGATATTAATGCTTTTTAAGTGGCTGGCAAATGTAACATGCCATTGAAATGCCAATTTCTATCTGTTTTTACTTTAGACTCAAGTGGGTGAATTCCTGGGTGATAATGATAAATTTAACAAAGAAGTCATGTATGCATATGTGGACCAACATGACTTTTCAGGAAAAGACTTCGTTTCAGCCCTTCGTATGTTTTTGGAAGGATTTCGTCTTCCAGGAGAAGCTCAAAAAATAGATCGATTAATGGAAAAATTTGCTGCAAGATACCTAGAATGCAATCAAGGGTAAGATTCAGATGATTTTTTTTTCTTTTCTTTTTTTATTAGTGCCTAATAATTTTACAAATTACTGGGTTTCAGATGATTCTTGATTGTCAGCTATATCCATAACACTGCTAAGAAGCATAAGAGTTTTAAAAAATACTAGAACATAATCCCCTCCCCACAGAGAATTTACATTGTCTGCAATCTGGAAGTGACATGACAAATACATAAAGATTCTATATCTAAGTCCTGAGATAAATGGTTAAAGAAAATGTATACATAAACAGTAGAATATTATTCAGCTACAAAGAGCAACAATATGTTATTTGCAGGAAAATGGATGTTTATTGTAAATCTTCATATTAAGGAAAATAAGCCAGACTCAGAATTTTTTCACATATTTAGAATCTTTTAAAAACAGATTTTTAAATTACAGATTACATAAAAGTAGAAGAGAAACATTTGGAAAAGAAAATTGGGGTCAGGGAAAAAAGACAATACGAATGAAAATAATCAAAGTTTGTCGTGTTCATGTATGAATATGCTAAAATGAAACCCAGTATTCTGTATAATAGGCACTCATAAAAGAGTGTGTTGAGATTTTAGAAACTTAAATGAAATTGTGTATAAAACCATAAAGTTTATAACGTAATACATATATTTTTTCAGACAAACTCTTTTTGCCAGTGCAGATACTGCTTATGTTTTGGCTTACTCAATTATAATGTTGACCACCGACCTTCACAGTCCACAGGTATTTTTTTTTTTTTACGTCAAATTGAAGTATAAAAATTATACATGTTCTTTTGAGTTCATTAAGTGCTACTTGGAAGTTTTATTATTTGTAATTAAACTAATTGTAAAATTGGTATATTAAAGGTGGTGTACATCTTACAAAAGTAATTTCTAGTAGTAATTCTAATTAAAACTATCTATAATAATTTATATTTGTTACTCTCATGAGTAACGGTTGTATAAAGCTCTGCTGCCTGCCTTGCAATCACAGGAACCTGAGTTTGACCCTGGTACCAAAAAAAAAAAAGAAAAAAAAAAAAACCTCTATATAGTTTAAACTGTTGTATAAAGCTGAAGATAAATTTTAATCTCAAATGATAGTGACAGGTCTTTTTTATGTACTTGTCACAACATAGAAAACCCCTATACATAAACTGTCTTTTTTTTTTTTTAATGTTTCAAACTTGAACAGTATAGGGAAAATTATGGTACCCATTGTCCACCCTTTACAGTTACCAGTTTATAGCACATTTTGTTTTATCTACAGCCTTTCTTTCCCCCAGATAATTTTGAACATAACATAAGTAATTTCATCTGTATGTGTTTTAGTACATTTAGTGCAAATCTCTAAAAGAGAAATACTCTGCTTACACGTAACTGCAATACAGTCACAACTAAAAGAAGGAAAATATTTGCAGTTTGAGATTAAACTTGATTGTATAAGGATTTTTTTGTTGCATTTTCACACAAGGTAATATGAAAAGTATATGCTAATTGTTGGTCGTGATGGCACATGCCTGTAATTCCAGCCCTTGGGAGGTTGAGGCAGGAGGATCGCTGTGAGTTCAAGACCAGCCTGGGCTACATAGTGAGTTCCAGGTCAGTCTCAACTACATAGTGAGACCCTGTCTCAAAAAAAAAGTGTGTGCTAACATAAGGAGAAAGGATTGTGTATAAATTCACTCGTTTTAAACACGAGTTGAACAACTATGAATGTACCACAGATGTAGCTGGTTATTTATCATTGTGTTTTATTTGACGTGTTGGCATTATAGTCAAAGCCAGAGTTTTCATTATCTAGCTTGATCACTTTTTTCCTGTAGTTTTGTAGGGCAGTCTACAGATAAATATTTATTTAGATATCATTATTTCAGAGTTTTTAGCCTTATTTTTTTAGTTCAAATCATAGCATTTAGGGGCCAGGGATTTAGCTCAGTGGTTCCACCTGTTGCGCAAGCGCAAGGACCTGAGTTCGGTCCCCAGTACCAAAAAAAAAAAAAAAATTTAAACCAAATCATAGAATTTATAATCTAGATTTGCATACCTTTATTTTTCAAAGGCTATACTTTTAAAGATACTTCTTTTTATAAGCAAATAAGCACCATAGTATGTAGCTGTGCCTTCTGTTCATGTACATACATATATGTACTTGTGTCTGTGGTTTTTTTTTTTTTTTTTTTTTTTTTTTTTTTGGTACTGGGGACCTTGCACTTGCAAGGTAGGCATTGGAACCATGGAGCTAAATCCCCAACCCACTTGTGGCATTTTAAACTACACAGAATTGTTGAAACGTTTCTGAACACATATCAGTTAGGCAGCCATATCTTGAAAGCAGTGTTTTGCCTTTAGGGCAAGATGCTCCTGTCCACAAAACATATACTTGGGGCCAGTCTGGTAGTAGCAACTGGTTGTTCTCAAGACCGTTTGTTGTCAGACTTGGTATCATGTGCTGATGTGCAGCCTGCAGTGGTAAAATAGCTTACAAGTTCCTCTTAGAAAATTGAACTTGTATCTTGGTCCCAGGTGATTTATAACTAAGAACCATGTAAACTATAACAAGTGACATCACTTATAATGAATACAGGTAACTTTAAAGAAATTTCTTAAAACTAATTTTTGTCATTCTTAATTGCTTTTGAAGTTTAAATTCAGGGGTTCTTAACACATTTATGTTCTATCACTATTAATGCTTAAGCTACCTTTTCTATTTAAGTAAGTGAATTTTTTAAAAATTTGGGGTGTATTTAGAATACTATTTTGTGTGTTTATATTAATTTTCATCAGTAACAACCAGCTTTATATGATTCAAACACTAAACACAGCTTCATGTAAGCATATGTGAATAAAATTAAAGAGTAGAATATTTCATAAAAGATATCAAAAGAAGAAAAAAAATTATGTTTTACAATACTTCTGAAGTCCCACCATGGCAAAAATGTTCAGTATTCTTTATTTTGGATACCTGAAAACAATGTGCTTTTTACGCCTATCTTTTGGGATCCCATACCTAGATGCATAAACAATTAGCTCAGTGGTTCTGCCACCTGCCTCGCAAGCACAAGAACCTGAGTTTGAACCTCCATACCAAAAAAAAAAAAAAATTAGTACTTCACATTTTCTGTCAAGACTTCCTTCTTCTTTCTGATTACCATGACACTGAAACATTTTAACCATCAGCAGAATTTCCATGTGATTTTAAATCTTACTTTGCCTCTTATTGGCCGTACTTACATTGTACCAATGCACATTGTCTTGAAAGTTGCTTCCAAATTCTTTATGAAAGATGGCGGGAGTATTTGACTAAATGTCTCGTCAGAAACATAGGTCTTCTGGGTTTTGTCTCTAAATTTTTAGAGGTATAAACATTTTGCTGTTGTAATTTTCAAGTTTGGTGAGAAGGATACTATCTTAGAGATTATGTACTTGTATTATTTACATAGCTTTATTAAATAGAATATTCCTATTCAGGGTACTCAGACAAGATAAAACATTCCAAAAATACTTTGCCCAGAACATGTAGGTATATTCAGTTGCCTTGACGACTTAGTGATACAAATTGTTATCTGATTTTAAATAATTCCGCCTATTTTTATTTTTCCATCCACTGTTTAGAAAATAATTTTTTTTTTTTTTTTT